CCTGCACGTCCGGAGCCTGTGCTCCGGACGTGCAGGCTCAGTGGCCATGGCTCACGGGCCCAGCCGCTCCGTGGCATGTGGGATCTTCCCTGACCAGGGCACGAACACGTGTCCCCTGCATCGGCAGGCGGACTCTCAACCACTGCGCCACCAGGGAAACCCCACTTTTACATTTTAGATAGATCCTTGTGGCTACAGTAGGCAGAGTGGATTAGAGGAGGGTCAAGACTGGGCATCAGATGAGAAATGAGGGCCTGAAATAAGGTGGTGACAAAGAGAAGGGTTAGGAAGGAACAGATAAGAGCCATGTAAACAAGTGATGCTCAATGGAAGTACAGTAGGTCTTAAATGCAAGCCACAGATATAATTTTAAAAATTTCTAGTAACCGCATTAGAAAAGCAAGAAGAAACAGGTGAAATTGATTTTAATAATATATTTTATTCAACCTAAAATATCCAAAATATTATAATTTCAGCATGTAATCGATATAAAATTTCTGAGATGTTTTACACTCTTTTTTGGTGTCTTTAAAATTCAGCGTGTATTTCACACCGATAGCACATTTCAAGTGTTCAATATCTGTATATGGCTAGTAGCTACCATACTGGACAGCACAGAAAAGTTACACAGGCTTCCTGACCAATTACATGTGGTGCACGTGTGCATGCGTGTGTGTGTGCACACGCGTGCACGTGTTGGGAGCATGGAGGTAAGGGAACACAAGATAATGACTGTGACAACAGCTGGCAGGACCAACACAAGGTAATGACTTGGTCTTGCTGGTCGTTGACATTGATGGAGACGGTAAATATAAAAGCAGGAATAGGAAGATCAGAACTTTGGGTTTGACCTTGGGGCATGCAGATGGAAACATTCTGCAGGCAGTTGAAACTTCGCCCTGGAGCTCAGGCGGTGCCTCTGGCGGGAGAATCTGTGTCCAAGGCAGTTTATAGACGGTAACCGAACACATGCGTGTAGATGATTTAGCCCGTGGATAGTATACAGACAAGAGAGGGAAGGTCAAGAACAAAATACTGGGGGGAAATTCCCAGTTTAAGGGATTAATAGGGGAACTAGGGTCTGCAAAGGAGGCCAAAAGGAACACGTAAGAAGCAGAAAGGACTGCACCAGGGTGGAGTTAAAGAGGCTGAGGGAAGAGAGACTGTGGTGTCCGCAGGGTCACAGGCTAGAGGGTGAGCACATGTTTGCTCATTGGCCTGAGGGTGACCTGCCCCTTTTGCCCTGTTGGCTGGTGCTAAGAGGGCGCAGGGGAGAAGTTGGAGGGAGTGGGGGCTGGGTGGGTGACATCAGGAACCTGCTATCCCAGGGACTTCGTAGCCTGCTGTGGTCATCACTTCCCGGCTCTGGATGCGAAAGGTCACTTTATTTTGCCCCACTCTGTTAAGTGCCCCCTGCCCATCCACACCCCCTCCCCGCCAGCCTGAGAAAAGGTACCTGGAGCTTCCGTCCCTCCGTCATCCTCAAGTCCTCCTCAAACTCCACTCCCACCTCGAATTCCAGAACTTAGTTTCGGAAGGTGCTGAGGGTCTTCACGGTCACGTGGCTGCCCCGATGGTCAGTCTCCTCGTCTGGCTTGAGCAGCGGCGCGATCTTCCGCAGAGCCATGTTGATGTCTACGGGGGCTGTCCTCTTAGGACAAGGGTCCTTTGAGCCAGCTGGCCAGGGCCTCCTCCACCCGCAGCAGCAGCCTGGAGCTGGGAGCATCCCCTGGGCTGGGTCTGGGACTGTGGATTTACTCCTTCCTAGCAATGCCCCTGGCTAGAAGAGGAGCCCAGCTCCCCGACCCCCAGCCCTTCCACGATGTTGGACCCTCGCATCCCCCCTCCTCAGTGGGACTGGAGGCAGGAAGGGAGAGGGGAGAACGGGAGTGAAAGGGCTCGGGAGGGGTGAGGCGGTTACTTAGAGCTTGCAGGTAGCTCTCCAAGTTCTTCTGCGAGACAAAGCAGTAGTAGCCGGTGAGGTTGGGAGGCATGGTCCAGGCTGGCCAAGGTGGAGGTCAAGATTTCAGGAGAATAGAGGGGGCAGGGCAAGGAAGGGGGGGGTGTCATCCGACAGGTGGGGCTGGGAGACTCCTGGCCAGCCTCTGCACACACAGAGGCAGCTTGTGTAAGGTCTGTGCTACCAGGGTTTTTATAGAGCTGAGGCTCTGTTGCAGTAAGAGCTCCTGCCAGACTCCCCCCCCCCCCCCCCCCCCCCCCCCCCGGTGATGAGTGTGAGGCTGGTGTCTGCAGCTCCACAGAGGGCCAGGGACTTGGCAAGTTTTTGCCTGACCTCGGCTTTTCCTGAGGAAGGAACCAGGACCAGGATCTGGGGCTGTCGGTCAGGCTACACTTGAGCCTTCCCGAAGGTCAGTTTTGGCTTTCAGCCCATTTCTGGCAGGTTTGGGAACCGTCCTGACACTCCAGAGGCAGCCTCTCCTGGGAGGGAGCTGGTCTTGCTGGGTGGAGGGGGGCGCCCTTTCAGACTCACCCAAGGGTGAGTTCTAACAATATCCTGAGATCTTGGAGTGAGTCGGGGATCCCGAAAGGTATGAGGGGGAGGAGGTGGGGAAAGAAGGGGGGACAGCCAGCTGGCCGGGAGCCCCAGTGAGGAAAATCCTCTAGCGCTGGCCCCTACAGCTCCCTCAGACAGCGTCGCTGAGCTGGGGCCCCCGACACTGGCTTTCCAGACTCTGTCCTATAGGAGCATTAAGAGGGGAGCAGAGAAACTGCAGAGGGGGCCGTCAGCGGCCTGACAAAGTCTGGCTGGAGCAGAAGGTGAGGGAGGAGTCGCTTGGCTGTTCGGGAGAATTCTACGCGCTTTGGCTTGGGACCCAGAGGTTCCCCTCTCCTTTTGGAGTCACTGATGGTACCGTCAGCCACCCGCGTCCCCAGCCGTTGGCCAGCCCACGCTTACCAGATGTACTCCCATTGCGGGGGGCGGTGCGCCTCAATTACTGTGTGCCCCGCCCCGCACTCCCTGCCCCCTCCCCCCGACGCGCACTCTTCTTTGCCTCTCGAACCCACCAGCCTCCCTGGCTTCAGAACCAACTGGGCTGGTTCATCAGGGTTTAAGGTGGGAAATTTGGGGCGAGCGGGTGAGGGAGGGTGAGCGCAAATATCTCGCTCTTCCTCCGGTCCCAGGGCCGGGTCCACGGCCCGGCTGCCCACCCCGTGGCTTCCTCAGAGACCTGGGGCTGGGAAATGAAATGCTAGCATAGGTCGGGGTCAGGTGGTGGGTTTGACTGCGAGGTTCCCAGGAGGCACCCAGCAGGGACTTGCTGATGGAATGAGCTGTGAAAAGAGGTTAATGCAGAGTTGGTGATGGTGGTGGTGGGGTGACGTGGATGCTGTCCCTCCTCGCCTCCCTCAGGTCTCCGTTGACGTCTCCTCTCCCCACCCCCGGGCATCTCGCTTCTTCATTCTCCCCATGGCCCTCTTTTTTCCCACCCCCTCTACCGCTTTCCAGCTTCCTCCCCAGCCCCCGCAGTTCCCTTGCCCCCCCAGATTGCAGTCAGGGGAAAAAGCCCTAACACCTTCTCCCAACCCTGCTCTCCGGTCCCATTGGTTCCCACCCCCACCCCCCCGCAGCACCTGCCCCCCCCCCACCAGTCACCCGATTGGCCAGAGGCCCCATCAATCCTCGCCTGGCCGTGCTGACGTCATCCTGCAGTAGCGGGGATGGGGTGGGCATGAGAGAGAGAGCCAGGACGCGGGGCTCCAGAGCGAAGGAGAAGAAGCCACTGCCAGTCCCCCACCTCAGCCGCCCAGGTTGGGGGGCTGCTCAGGTCTGCTCTATGGACTAGGGTGGGCGGCAGGCTCCTTTCTGTCTCTGCCCTGCTGCCTGCTCTCTTCCCTCCCCTCCTTGGAGAGCCCCTGCATCCCTCCCCCAAGGTGGAATACGCGGGCTTGAGGCTCCCGGGGGAGAGCGATCGGGGCCCGGCGCTGCCCGCGCCACACCATGACCCTCCTGCTGTTGTTCCTCTTGCTCGGCTCCCTGCTCCCCTCCAGCTCCTGCAACAAAGGTGAGTGAGGCGGGGGGCGGGGGCACTGAAGGAGGGGTCTCAGGCAGGGCGGGGGGGGGGGGCGGTCGGGGTGGGCAGGAGCCCTTAAGGCTCCCTGGCCCATGACAGCTGGTTCTTCAGACCACCTCCCTTCCCATCCGTTTTCTCAGACCTGCCCCCTTCTCTTCTCCCTCGCATCCCCCTTCCCACATCCTCCTCTCTGGTCCATCTCTACCCATGTGCTTCTCTTGCTCCCATTTGGTCCCCATTCCCATCCTGGGCTCTCTCTCTCCCCCTCCCCCAATTTCTCCCTCCTGGAGCTATCTCAGGTCTCAGAAGGACTTGCCCCTGAGGGGCGATACACATCTCTGGGCGGGTCTCCGTTTTCACCGGGGTGTGCCGGGGCTGAGGGTGTGTGGCACATCCATCTGGTTCCTCTCCATCCCATCCCGGGGAGAAATTGTTCCCTGCAGCTCAGCAATTCGGAGCACGTATGTTTTGGCGTGTTCCTCTGCATCCATAACCTTCCGTCTGCATGCAGCTGGGCTGAGGGTTACCAGAGCTGCCCTCTCTGCAGACAGCAGATAAATTCAGCTGGGTGAGGCCGTCCGAGGGACCAGGAGGGAGGGAGGGGGTGGGGGCCGAGGGCTCAAGTAGGTGGAGACGGGCAGGGAAGGGCAGAGGTGGGTGTCTGGGAGTGTTAATTGAGTGGTGAGAGGGGAAGGGAGTAGGAGAAGGGAGATGAGGTGTGGGAGGGGATGAGAAGGGGGGTGGACCAGGGTCAAGGTGGAGGCCAAAAAAAAAAAGAGAGAGAGAAAGAGGAATGAAAGGGAAATCAGGAAGAACAGGTGAGGAGAGGGGGAGGAGAGAGTCCAGGAGGGAAAAGACAGGGAGCCCAGGAGTCAGTGAGAGGAGATGGACACGAGGAGAGTGTCGGGGGCCGAGAGGAAGGCAGCAGAAGGGTGGGGTGGGGCGTGAGCTGTGCGCAGCCCTTCCATCCTCGGCTCAGTCTCTGACCTCAGTCGGCTTCCGAGCCTCCTGCCACTTCCTGTGCTGGCTTCTGGGCACCATCTTGTGGCTTTCTCCTCTGCCACTAGAGAAGGGGGTCATGGTGGGTCCTCGGCGAGGAAGGGGCCGGCATTCAGATACCAGAAGGCTTTGGGGGATGTCACTGGAAGAAAGAATGGAAATCAGGATTGCTTGCTCACCATGACATACTGGGGATGACTTTCCTTTCGGAGACTCAGTTTCCCTCTGATGATATGTCTTCCTCTGCCCAGGTCTCGCTGATGGGCCATCGTGGATGTGCTTTGGGAGCTTAGGGGTTGGCTTGATGGGATTCAATAGAGCAGGCAGTGGAGGTTGGCGTTGGTGAGGGGAAGGGAGCCCCTCACCAGGCTGGTGGGAGATTGGTCCTGGGGAGGAGACGTGATTGAGTTGAGTCTGGTAGCAGATGGGGAGATCTGGAGGCTGAGTGAGTCCCACATCCATTGTGGATTGGCTGGTGGCTGAAGGGAAGAGGGGTGGGGTAGGCGAGAATTAGGACTCAGCCATGAGTCTGTATAAGAGCGGGGCTCAGGGAGTGTGGGGTTTGGTGGCCTTCTGGGGGACATAGGACCGTGTTGGTTATGAGTGTGTTCTCTGGGTGTGAGGGTGAGAAGCAGGGAGAGGATTTGTCGTGTTTCTAGGCCATTTCGATAATCCCTGAGGATGTCGGCTCTGCTGGGCCCAGCCGTTCAGCATTGATTCCTCTGCTCCATCCCTGCCTCTCTCTGTCCTCCTCCCTCTGTCCTATATATTTTCCCTTCTCTCTTTTCTCCTCTTCCCTCTCCTCTGGGAGAATGGCCTTAGGATGGGGCTTGGCCGGGAGAAGAAGGGATCAGGATTGAAATGGGGTGGTGGTGGTGGAGATGATAAACAATCAGGATCTCAGGAAGCTTCTAGTCTGCTTTTCCTAACCTCAACTCTGCCCTTTTCCAGGGCCTTCTGATGGCCCACCACTGCTCCCTGAAGGCCCAGTGTCCACACTCTAGCTCTTGAAATCCCTAAAGAGAGTCTCCACCTTCTGACCAGGTTTCCCAGGGGACATGGCAGTCCCCCTCCCCCCCAGGGCAGGCTGTGGCCATGGAAACTGTCTATCCTGTGACCTCCCGTAGACCCTCTGACTCCCTTCATGGCTGATTTCTTGTCCTCAGTCCTTTCTCCTGCAGGTGCTTCTGCAGGGGCTGGACAGGGTGGTGATGCTGGAGTGTGTTGTCTGGAGGTGGAGGGCCGGCTCACAGGTGCTTCCTTTCCTCTCCCTGGGTGGGGGGGGCAGCCAACAAGCACAAGCCATGGATCGAGGCGGAATACCAGGGCATCGTCATGGAGAACGACAACACTGTTCTGCTGAACCCGCCGCTCTTTGCTTTGGACAAGGACGCCCCCCTGCGCTACGCAGGCAAGTGGGGTTGGGGCAGAGGGGGGCGGGTAGGATAGAGACAAGTGGGTGGGAGGGCGGAGGCAAGCGAGGAGAGGGGAGGTCCTGGGAGGGAGAGCAGTGTGGACGTGGCGGGAGAGGAAGAAGTAGACTCCAGGAGGAAACGGGCCACGGTGAAGAACGGTGGTAAAATAAAGGGGGCCAGAGAGGAGGACGTGGGCAGGTGGGGGTCAACGCAGTCAGATTTTGCCAGATCTCAGACCTGGGGGCTCTGAGAGGTTGCCGCTCAGGGAAGCTGGGGTTGGAGCTGATTGTCTGATAATTAATGCTTTTTCATGTGCAAGAGAAGGGACAGGGGTTTGGAAGGAGAGGTGAAGTGGGAGCCTGAGGGGGGTTGGCGAGTGTGGGAAGGAGACCCTGGAGGTGGTGCAGGAGCTGTGTCCTTCCCTCCCCCTCTGGCCAGGCGAGATCTGTGGCTTCCGGCTCCATGGGTCTGGGGTGCCCTTTGAGGCTGTGATCCTGGACAAGGCGACAGGAGAAGGGCTGATCCGGGCTAAGGAACCCGTGGACTGCGAGGCCCAGAAGGAACACACCTTCACCATCCAGGCCTATGACTGCGGCGAGGGCCCCGACGGGGCCAACACCAAGAAGTCCCACAAGTGAGGACGCTCCTGTCCCCTGCCCTCTGCTGCAGGCCCCCCACCTCCTCCCAGGCCCCTCACCATCCTCTGTCCTCGCCGTCACTGACTATCTACCCCCTCCCCTCTCTGCTCCTGGGGTTTAGGGACGGGGCCTTGTCGTCCAGGAGCCTTCAGCCAAGGGGACAGAAGCACGTGGTAGAACTCAGTGGGGTCTAATCTTGGCTCTGCCTCTTATGACCTTGGGCAACTTCTTAGCCTTTCTGGATTTGCTTTTCCTTGTCTGTAAAATGGGGTGATGGTGATGCCTGCTTCTTCAGGTTACTGTGGAGATGAAAGGAGATGGTTTGTATAAAAAGCAGGCACTGCAGTGCCTGACACTGAAAGGGCTCAATACCCGGAGTCAGGATGCTGAGGGAGCGAGGAAGAGGGCGGTACATTCAGCACACACCCACGTTCCTTCCGACTGCCCAGCCGTCTGCAGTGTGTGCCACACTCACACACAGAACATGCGCACACACGGCAGTGGGTGCGGGTGGGCAGGAGATGACTACGGCAGGAAGAAGTCTGGGGCCCAGGGCTCCGACATCTGTTCCCAGCTCACTTCTCCTTTGAGAATGGGAGGAAGATGGGCAGTCAGGACTCCTGGGCCACTACGAGGCACTAGAGATAAACCACTCCTTGTGATGACTCAGTTTCCCATTTGGAGACAGGACCCTTGCCTCTGGGCCCTGGGTGCCAGGATCTGGGCTGGGGGCAGGGCTCAGCATGAAGGGCTTAGCCCCTCCCCAACCTCTGCTTGCCCCGCGGGGGCCTGGGCGGGGGAGGGGGCACGGCCGGCTTGCTCACTGCACACGTCAGATGACTTGTGACTCTGGTACAAATGCCACTTCCCTGAATGTGTTTGCTTTTAATTTGGTTTTATTCTGCATCTTCCTTTTTTTCTTTAAGAAGGTTTATTTATTTATTTATTTTTGGTTGCGTTGGGTCTTGGTTGCTGCACGCGGGCTTTCTCTAGTTGCGGCGAGCGGGGTCTACTCTTCCTTGTGGTGTGCTGGCTTCTCATCACGGTGGCTTCTCGTTGTGGAGCATGGGGTCTAGGCACCTGGGCTTCAGTAGTTGTGGCTCCCGGGCTCTAGAGCGCAGGCTCAGTAGTTGTGGCACACGGGCTTAGTTGCTCCGCGGCACGTGGGATCTTCCCGGACCAGGGCTCGAACCCGTGTGCCCTGCGTTGGCAGGTGGATTCTTAACCACTGCGCCACCAGGGAAGCCCCTACATCTTCCTTGATTATCCCACTGGATTTGACTCTCGTGAAGGAACACCCGGCTGGACACAGAATCCTCTGTCTCGCGTGGCTGTCCCCAACCTATAGCATTCTGTATAGAAGTCATCAAAATCGGCCGCTGGTATCCCCTGGGGCCGTTCCTCACCCTGTACATCAGGCACCCTTTCCCCGGCGGTGCCTGTCCCTTGCTGTGCCTGGTGCCCTGGCTGGGGGGATGAGCGTGCCCACTGCCCCGGGCCCCAGGACCTGCTGGTCCTGCCTGCTCTGCTTCCCTGTCTGGACTCCTAGTTGTGGCTGACTTTTCCTCGTCCTCCTCCCGCTCTGGCACCTGCAGGGCCACCGTGCACGTGCGGGTCAATGACGTGAATGAGTTTGCCCCAGTGTTTGTGGAGCGGCTGTACCGCGCGGCCGTGACCGAGGGGAAGCTGTATGACCGCATCCTGCGGGTGGAGGCCATCGATGGCGACTGCTCCCCCCAGTACAGCCAGATCTGCTACTACGAGATTCTCACGCCCAACACCCCCTTCCTCATCGACAACGATGGTGAGCGCCTGCCACCCCAGCTGCTCCGCCCTGGGCGCCCGCGTCCCTCAGGACATCTCGGGGATGTGCCCTCCACTTCTGTCCCTCACATCCTCATTCCTCACCCTTCTTCCCAGATGTGGAGCCTCCTTCCCTAGATCCCTTCCTCCCAGCTTCCCGCTGTCTAATTCACCTGCTGCCCTATTGGCTCACAAGTCCTCCCCAGGCTTTCTCTAGTGCGCCTGACCCTCTCCATCCCCCACCCCCACCCCAGGGAACATTGAGAACACGGAGAAGCTGCAGTACAGTGGCGAGAAGCTCTACAAGTTTACGGTGACGGCTTATGACTGCGGGAAGAAGCGGGCGGTGGATGACGCTGAGGTGGAGATCCAGGTGAAGCCCACCTGTAAACCCAGCTGGCAAGGTGAGGAGCTCTGCTCTGGGACCTGTCTTGTAACCCATCTTTCACCTTGGTGTCCCTTTGCATCCCTTCTGACAACCACAGGGGTTAGGCTAGGAGTCAGGGGAGGGATATTTGGGGAAGGCTTGTAGCTGCCTACCCTGGCTGGCTATTTTCGTAGGAGCCCAAGACTGTCCGTGGATGTGGCCAGAGCAGAATGGATAGGAGGGGCTGCCTTACCCATCTCCATCTCCACTGCCAGCTCCCTCTCACCCCTGCAGGCTGGAACAAAAGGATTGAATATGCACCAGGCGCTGGGAGCTTGGCTTTGTTCCCTGGTATCCGCCTGGAGACCTGTGATGAACCTCTCTGGAACATTCAGGCCACCATAGAGCTGCAGACCAACCATGTGGCCAAGGGCTGTGACCGTGACAACTACTCAGAGCGGGCACTGCGGAAACTCTGTGGTGGGTGTGCTCCCCTTGGCTCCCCGGGCCTGTCCCCTGTGCCCCCTACCCCCAGCCTCTGCCTGAAACTCCTCTGCCTCTTTCTTAATAATCTGTCTTGGGAATTCCCTGGCGGTCCAGTGGGTAGGACTCTGTGCTCGCATTGCAGAGGGAGCAGGTTCCATCCCTGATCCGGGAACTAAGATCCTGCAAGCCGTGCGTTACGGCCAAAACCAAAAACAGAAATACTGAATCTGTCTTCCATCTTCCTTTGCCCATCCATAGATGTATATATCTGCCGGCATGTGGCTATCTCTTGTGGTCCAAAGAGCACATAAATATGTGGGTGGCAAAGATGCATAATTGTGGCCCAAGAGAGGCACCAGATACATTATGGGACAATGGCAGGGAGAGATGACGAGTTGGAGTTGAGGTCACTGGAGAGCTATTCCTAGCCATTCCTTTCTCATCTCTGAAAGGCCAGAAGAGGCGGTGAGCGTAGCTGTGGGAAATCTTTCCTTGTCCCTCTCTCCCTGCCTGCATATCCTGTTCCCCATCTGCTGCCTCTCCTCTCTGACACCTGTGCCTTTTGGGGCTCCGGCAGGCGCAGCCCCTGGGGAGGTGGATCTGCTGCCCATGCCCGGCCCCAATGCCAACTGGACGGCGGGCCTCTCGGTGCACTACAGCCAGGACAGCAGCCTTATCTACTGGTTCAACGGCACCCAAGCTGTGCAGGTGCCACTGGGTGGCACCGCTGGGCTGGGCTCCGGGCCCCAGGACAGCCTCAGTGACCATTTTACCCTGTCCTTGTGGATGAAGCACGGTGTAACCCCCAGCAAGGGCAAGAAGGAAGAGGAAACCATCGTGTGTAACACTGTCCCAAACGGTGAGCCTTCCCTAGGGCACCCGTCTGAGTGTGGAGAGACTGGCTTCTTGTCCTGCCTCTGTCACCGTCCAGTCTGTGACTGTGGACGCGTCACTCCTCTCTCTTCATCTGTAAGAGAGCAGTGCTAGGTTTCGTATTGCTGTGATTTACTCCCAGCATGACAAGCTGGGATCCTACTGCTCTGAGTGATGGAACCGCTCACCGCCCTCCTCTGCAGCTGCCCCATCACCCTGCATCCACGTGTAGCAGACTCTGCCCCCCAGACCTGCTCCCCTTAAAGCCCCCGTCACAGCCTGAGTAACGCTGTGCCCCATTCTTCCTCTTCCACCACCCCATCCTCCTTCTTTAAGGGCTAGTGGGCTCCAGCCCCCAAGACCCCTCTGCCCTCTATGGCAGTAGCACAGCCCTCTTGAGGGGCTCAGCCTTCACCTGCTCTTTCATTTCTGCCTCTTCTCGGAGCTCATCTCTCTTGACCTGAAAAGGAGTGTTGCCCATGATGTTTGTATTAATCAAAGGACCAGTAAAGATCTGAGTGGGGGCAGGCTGGCCAAGTGTCCCCCCTCAGCCAGTCAGAGTGCCCAAGAGAAGCCCGACACTGGACTCTGTGTGTGTGTGTGTGTGTGTGTGTGTGTGTGAGAGAGAGAGAGAGAGAGAGAGAGAGAGAGAGAGAAGCTGAAGGGATGAAGAGAATCCGGCACCCCCTCCCTCCTGGTGCTTTGAAGCTGTTTTTGCCCATGCTTTGTGTTTGACCTCTGTCCCCGTCCTCTGCCCTCAGAGGACGGCTTCTCTCACTACTCACTGGCCGTCCACGGCTGCAGAATTGCCTTCCTCTACTGGCCTCTGCTGGAGAGTGCCCGGCCAGTCAAGTTCCTCTGGAAGCTGGAGCAGGTGAGGCCGGAGCCAGGCTCCTGGGAAAGCTGGGTGGACGTAACTTGCTTTTAGGCGAGGAGGTCCTAGGGCAGGGGTGGGCATTTTCTGGGTTGCCCTGTGTCCCTTCTTTCAATCTCCACTTTCAGTTCCTGACTATTTTTACACCTCCCTGCCCCCCGCCCTGGCTCCGTTTTCTTGTTCTCTTTTTCCAAGGCTTGTCTCTTGCAGAAAGCACTCCTGGATTAAAAGGAAGTAGGGAACAAATTACTACGAACACCAGACCCGACCAACCATCTCTCCCCTCTTGTTTTCTTTCATCTGTTTCTTATCTAGAACCTTACCAGTGCAGATGCCTGACTCTCAAGCAGTTAGCATGCTGTAATTGAGGAAATAAGTAATCTGAGGTACATAGACTAGGTTTGAGTCCCGCTAGGGGAACTTCCTAGCCATGAAATCTTGGTTAATATGTTTACAACTCAGTTTTTTTTTTACCTATGAGTTGAGGATAATAAGAATTCTATATCCCAGGGTTGTTGTAGGATTAAATGATGTAATAGACCTTTATAGACTAAAAAGCAGTATATATATGTGTGTGTGTGTTTGTATATTTATATATCCATGCACATATATATATATACATATATATGTATATAAATCTCACTATTTTCATGGTTATGAGGGATAAATAAAAATGGGCAAAAAAGAAAAAAAAAGAAAGGAAAAATCTCTTGAGCCAACCGTTGCAGCCTCTTCTTTATTCATTCTCCAAGCTGACCACAGGGACCGTGGGGATGAACTGTGTTTCCATCTCCTTCTGTTTTTCTTGTAAGCCCCCGTGGAGTGGCTGAGTAAGCAAATGGCTGAAAAAAGGCAGGAAGTGGAAGAGAGAGAAAAAGGGAACGAAAACCCACAAACTGGATAATTGAGGGCTGTCTCCAAAAGCTGCTTTTTGTGGCACTCTTTTTTTATTTTTTAATTTATTTTTTATCTTTTTTAACACCTTTATTGGAGTATAATTGCTTTACAATGGTGTGTTAGTTTCTGCTTTATAACAAAGTGAATCAGCTATACATATACATATGTTCCCATATCTCCTCCCTCCTGCGCCTTCATCCCACCCTCCCTATCTCACCCCTCTAGGTGGTCACAAACCACCGAGCTGATCTCCCTGTGCTATGTGACTGCTGCCCACTAGCTATCTATTTTACATTTGATAGTGTATATATGTCCATGCCACTCTCTCACTTTGTCCCAGCTTACCCTTCCCCCTCCCTGTGTCTTCAAGTCTCTTCTCTATGGCTGCATCTTTATTCCTGTCCTGTTGTGGCACTCTTCTAAAGAGATATTCTGCCATTTCCTTCTTCTGGATCTTTCTTCCACGTTGCTAATACTGGTAACATTCCTCTTTCTATTTTTCTTTTACTTACCCTTATTTATTCAACAAAGATTTAGTAAATACCAATTCCCTGCCATTCTACTAGGTTCTGGGGATACAATGGGGTCTAAGATGGAACAAAATCTCTGCCTTCATGGAGCTTACATTTTAGTTGAGGAGATAGATTTTTAAAAAGTAAGCAGACATATAAACATGATAAATTGTGATAAATGCTGTGAAAGAAGAAGCAAGGGACTGAGGTAGAGAATTGGAGGCAAGGAGAAGGGAGCTCACTTTAGATTGGATGCTCAGGGAAGGTCTGATAGAAGTGAAATGTAAGCTCATCCTGAAGGATGAGACAGAGCTGTGAGAGAGAGTTCCAGTCAGAGGGAAGAGCAGATGCAAAGGCCCTGAGGCAGGAAAGGGATCAACATGTTGCAAGCACGGAAAGACGACCAGGGAGTTAGAGCACAGTGAACAAGGGCAGAGACTGGATTTGAGGTTGGAGAGCTGGACAGTAAGCAGCTGTATGGTGGACTTTGTTAGTTGGGGTCATTTGGATTTTGTCCTATAAGTCTTTTGAAGGGTTTACAGCAGGGACGTGACCTGATCAGATTTACATTGTAAGAAGATCCCTTTGTATATGTATATGTATAACTGATTCACTTCGCTGTACACCTGAAACTAACACAACATTGTAAATCAACTGCACTCCAATTAAAAAAAAAATCTTAAATTTTGAAGGTGCTCCTCCGCCAAATTTGGGATGTATTTCTCAAATTAACTATAAATTTTTGGGATTTCCCTGGTGGCGTGGTGGTTAAGAATCTGCCTGCCGATGCAGTGGACAAGGGTTCGATCCCTGGTCCGGGAAGATCCCACATGCCGCAGAGCAATTAAGCCCGTGTGCCACAACTACTGAGCCTGTGCTCTAGAGCCCGCGAGCTGCAACGAGTGAAGCTCACGCACCTAGAGCCAGTGCTCCGCAACAAGAGAAGCCACCGCAATAAGCCCACGCACTGCAACGAAGAGTAGCCCCTGCTCGCCGCAACTAGAGAAAGCCCGCACGCAGCAACAAACACCCAACGCAGCCAAAAAAAAAAAAAATTTTTTTTGTTGCAAAAATAGGAAGGATTTTTCTAATTTTGCTTCAGAAAAGATTTGGTTACAAGTAATTTATTTAATTTGCAATTAGCTATGATTTTTCAACAATTGTCATTTATATTTGGGAACATTTGTGAAGTGAGGAGAATCCAATCTTTTCAAATGTAATGAGTTGTTAATGAATACTAAGTTTGACAACATTAAATTCAGTAGTGATTTAAAGATTAAAAAAAAAAAAAAAAAGAAGATCCCTTTGGCAACTATGGGAGGAAGGTCTCGGAGACACCTAAGAGTGTAAGTGCTCAGACGAGACTGTTGTAACAGAGAGAGACTGGGGACTTGAATGATTGGGTGGCAATGGAGATGGAGAAAACGGCACAGAAACCCACAGCTTTTAGTTCTGTTTGGACTCGGGATGGACAGCACCTGCTGACGGACTCCTCTTAGGAATGTTGATGCTTTTAAAGGTTTACCTGCAGAGTGGAATTTTAGGTATGAGGTTGGAGCCTGATAGATTCTGGGCAAGGATATTACTCCTTTAGCTGGGTGGGCAGCAATTCACCAGTAGGACCTGTTGATAGGACAGGCACTATGAGGGACTGTCCCCTGCCTCCCAGGAGGTGGGGCGGTGCCTTGCGTTCGTTCCCTGGGGATGATGTGACTGACAGGTTCCTGCCCTTCCCCACCCCCCAGGTCTGCGATGATGAGTGGCACCACTATGCTTTGAACCTCGAGTTCCCCACGGTCACACTCTATACCGATGGCATCTCTTTCGACCCTGCCCTCATCCACGACAATGGTCTCATCCACCCGCCCCGAAGGGAGCCTGCGCTCATGATTGGGGCCTGCTGGACTGGTAAGTCCCGCCGAGCTTCTCCATGGAGGCGCTAATGGTTGGGGCCTCCAGTGGCTGATGGAGGAGCAAAAGGGCAGCCTGACCTCATGAGCTCATTGCCCTGCAGTTGGGCAGGGAGGCCGGGAAAGATCTCTTGGGGAGGAGGCCACAGCCCCTCAGGTGTCCTTCCTGTTGGACTGGTCATCACCTCTGACTTGGAGGAGTTTCCTGCTCAGGCAACACCAGCATCTTTCTTTCTGTAACTTCAGTCACTTCCCACTTTGTTCCATCCCAGTGATGATGATTCCACAGCCCATTCCCCTGCTGGAGGACAATAACCCTGCAGAGGGTCAGCAACCTTCTAACTTTTAAGCAGTTTCTTTCATTTTTTCCTTCTGGGAGGGTGTGTGTGTGTGTGTGTGGTGTGTATGTGGTGTGTTTGTGTGTGTGTGGTGTATTTGCATATGTGGTGGGTGTATGTATGTGGTGTATCTGGTTTGTGTGTATAGTGTATCTCTGTGTGTGTGTGTGTGTGTGTGTGTGTGTGTGTGTGTGTGTGTTGTACCAGAGCCCATGTGTTTCCCCAGCAGCATATTTGGAGTTTGTCTATAACAGAGGCCTGAGATAATCTCAGACATGACAAAAGGAAGGTTGGGATTCAGCAGAGAGGTTCAAGTCCTACATGGGCAGGGGCAACGCCTGGAAGACCTCCCTGTCCTCTCTGTCAATCTGGCCACACATCCCTGAGCTCACTGGCACTTTTTCTCCCCCAGAGGAGAAGAACAAAGAGAAGGAAAAGGGAGGCGACAACAGTACGGACGCCACAGCAGGTACTTGCGTGGGAAATCTGGAGGCCGGAGAGCTAGCATCTCAGTTTAGGGCTCCGGCTCCCGCTCCCGCGTCCGCATGGCCCTACCCGGCCTCACCGTTCACCGCCTCGCCCACCACCAGGGGGCAGAGCCTCCGAGCATCGCAGCCAGGCGGGCTCGCCCGGGAGAGGGCGGCCAGATGGAGCCGGGCTGGGCGCCGGTGTCCTTTCCTGCCCACGGAGTGAAGTCGAGGGTTCTCTTGCTGGCTTTCCGCGTGGCAGAGCGCAGAGGGCAGGAGGCAGCCACGCGGCCGGGAGAGCTGGGCATCCCTGAAGCTCACGCGCATCCTTCCCGGTGCTCCCCGCATGCACCGTGAAGACCCCCTCGCGCACTCTCCTCGTTTTCTGCCTTGAGTCTCCTCTTTCCTCCCTTTGGTCCTGCTTTCCTTCTCTTTCTGCCTCTGCCGGAAGCTTTTCTCATTTCTGTGGCTTCTATTTTTCGCCCTCCGTCTCCCCCCACCTCCCCGCCCACCCCCGGTTTTATTCTGTCTTCTCGCTCTGCCTTGTCCCATCTTCCCTTAGCCTCCCTTGCCGCTCATCAATCTTTTCTTCTTTTGGCTTCCACCTGGCTCCTTCCCGTCTCCCTTCCCCAGCCTGCTTCTCTTTCTCTCAGCCCCCTCTTCTTGTGCCTCCTCTCACCTCTGGTCCGCCCCTGTGTTCCTGCCCTAGGAGATCCCTTGCCGATCCACCACTACTTCCACGGCTACCTGGCTGGTTTCAGCGTGCGCTCAGGTCGCTTGGAGAGCCGGGAGGTCATCGAGTGCCTCTATGCATGTCGGGAGGGGCTGGACTATAGGGATTTCGAGAGCCTGGGCAAAGGCATGAAGGTATCGCCCCTTCCTCTAGCCCCCTCCCTCCAGGAATGGCCCCTGACCCCGCCCTTCCCCACCCCCACCTCTGCTCCCTTCCTCTCCCGCCTCTGGTCGTGCTCTCAGCCCTGTCTGTGTCTGGGGCCCAGGTCCACGTGAACCCCTCGCAGTCCCTGCTCACCCTGGAGGGGGATGATGTGGAGACCTTCAACCATGCCCTGCAGCATGTGGCTTACATGAACACTCTGCGCTTTGCCACGCCCGGCGTCAGACCCCTGCGCCTCACTACTGCCGTCAAGTGAGTGTTGGGTGGGCGGGCAAGTCACGGAACAGAGCCAGACAGTGTCAGAACTCCTTGGCCTTAGGCACCACCGACGGCTAGGCACACCTCCCTCGTTTCAGGGATGAAAAACTGACCTGCCCAATTGACACAGCAATGCTGGGAGAAGAGCCTGGACCAGACTCAGATTTTCCAATAAAGGGTTCATGACTCTTCCCACTGAAGCACACCTCCAGGATTTGGAGGGTTTTAATCTCTGTGTCTCTGTGCTGATATGTAAAGTGGGACAGAAGAGGGCACTGGATTGGCAGCCAGGAGACCTGACGCTAGTTCTGACTCAGTACTAATTCTCTGGATGACCTTGGGCAAAGACCTCTAGTTGCTTGATTCATCAATCTCTTGCAAGATCAAACAGGATGATCTAAGTCTGGGGATTGGCAGCCTATGGCCCCAGGATCAAATCTGGCCTGCTGCTCATTTGCATATTGTTTATGGAAATGAGCTGCTTTCACCCTATGATGGCAGGGCTGAGTAGCTGGGACAGAGACTGGTACAAAAAGTCGAAAATATTTACCGTCTGGCCCTTCATAGAAAAAGTTTGCTGACTTTTGAGTTCTAAGTGAAGGATTCCGAATTCTTTAAATGAAAAACTGTGCATTACTTCAAGGTTTAAGTATATTAGGTATTTAAAAATACAGATTGAGAGGTCATGAAAGCATAAGAGTTATGGACACAGAGTCTTTTACTTACTAGCTTTTTAAAAATAAATTTATTTATTTTTGGCCGCATTGGGTCTTTGTTGCTGTGCGCGGGTTTTCTCTAGTTGTGGCAAGTGGGGGCTACTCATCATTGCGGTGCGCGGGCTTCTCATTGCAGTGGCTTCTCTTGTTGCAGAGCACGGGCTCTAGGCGCGCAGGCTTCAGTAGTTGTGGTGCGCGGGCTTCAGTAGTTGTGGCACGCAGGCTCAGTAGCTGTAGCTCGCAGGCTCAGTAGTTGTGGTACACGGGCTTAGTTGTTCTGCGGCATGTGGGATCTTCCCAGACCAGGGCTCGAACCCGTGTCCCAGGCATTGGCAGGCGGATTCTTAACCACTCCGCCACCAGGGAAGCCCCTTACTAGCTTTTTAGCACTGAGAAAATGCCATAGAGCAGGGATAACAATAGAATCTAACTCATGGAAATGTTGTGAGGGTAAATGATAGAATCCAGATCAAATGCCCAGAGAAGTGCCTGTTCTGTCAACATTGGCTACTATTATACGAAGGCATTTTCACCCCGCATTATGTTGATGGGGCAGTTTTTAGGAGCTACTGCCATCCAGTGGGTGGATCACATAATGTAAGGGTCGGGATTCCTGTGTTCCCTTCTCCCCTGCTCTGCCTCAGTTTCTCCAAAAGCTATCTGAAGAGAAACATCTCTGACTTGTCCCTATCCTGGCATGGGTGGGTTTGGAGAGGAGAGGGGGCTCTGAGCCCTGGGCAGTGACTGGGCATGACTGTCAGGCCTCCCAGAGCTTTGCAAGGCAGGGGCAGGGCTTTGGGGAATTGGGCTGCTGGTCCACGGTGTGGTCCTGGCGGGGAGCTGAAGGCCACGGCAGATGAGGTCACGTGGGTGCAGATCTGCGCTGAGGATGCGCCCCACCGTGTTCTAGTCAGAACTCTAGCTGTTAGAGGGCTCTCACCCAGCTACGAAGGTATGAAGGGCTTCATCCCTCAGGGACCAAGGAATGGCTTCATCCCCTTCGTAGGCTCAGGAGTCACGTCAGAGGGAGGGCTCTGTCTTCTGGCTTAGGGTGGAGCTCTGCATGGGGCAACCCCACAAGGGGGGAGTTGACACCCTCTTTGTTGACTGTCTTATTTGAATTCCTCCAACCTCTTTCCTGCCCAGGGGAGAGGCTTATCCAAGGACTGGGAACCTGACGTTGCTCCTTCAGTAGAGGGAAGGGGCCTTTTTCCTTTATGAGGTTAAGAGAGAGAGAAGTCTCATTTCTCCATTTTAGGGCCACCATGTGGTTAGTGCTACCCTAACACTTCCTTGAGGGTGAAGGAGAAAATATAGAGGTGTGTGTGTGTGTGTGTGTGTGTGTGTGTGTGAGAGAGAGAGAGAGAGAGAGAGAGATAGAGAGAAACAGGGAGAGACAGATACCCAGCGGCGCCTTCCTTCTTGTGATGCATATCCTTGCCCTGGTCCATGTGGCTTCCCTAGCTTCCAGTGTTCAGTGCTTGGACCTCTGTCCATTTAAAGCCAGATTTATGCAGCCATTCAGTCAATGCAGGTTTATCCTAAGTTGTTGTTGTTTCTTTTTAATCTCTTGGATTCTTGGAAAGCTCATCTGGCTACCACATCTTTTTCTCTAGCTTTGTTCTCTTTCCTTAGCTCTTGAATTTCTTCCTGCTTGTTGTAAGCTCCATCTAGAAGTTCTGCCAGCACCTCAGACAAACGAGCTAAAGCTTAATAATGAACTTCGATGCGTGAACTAGCCCCTCCCCCTGAATTCTCTGCTTCTGTAATGGTGTCTCTGTCCTTGCAGTTACCCCGGCTTGCAGCTTCTGAATCGCCTTTGATTCCTCCGTCTTTATCTTCCACACCCCATCGGTTACCAGGTCACCTAGATCCCGCTCTGCGCCCATGTCTGGCATCTGTCTCCTCTTTTTCCATCTCCAGCAGCTCTCATTACCTCTCATCGGGCCTATTGCTCTAGCCTCCTAACTAGTGGACTATCTCTAGTATTCTAACTTCAGTTCAGTTTCTACCCAGAGGCTAGGTTAGTGATCTGAAATCAGAATGTCCACCCTCACACTTCCCTGCTGAAGAAGACATCCATGGTTCCCTCCTGCCCACTGCACAAAACTTGCGCTCAAAGCCCATGACCATCTGGCCCAGCGTTTCCTGCCTCACGTTCCTCTACTCCCCTTTGTGTATTCCTCACCCTCCACTCTAGGGTCAACTTTGTGCCCTCCTCCAAAGGCTAGCTCACTTGCTACTTCTCTTGATTATTCCTACCCTCCCTTGCCAAATGCCCCACTCCCATCCTTAGCCAGAAACCCACTCTGAACGCTCGTGGGTTTGTGTGATGGTGACCACGTTGGCTCTTGTTCTAAGGTTTGCGTGCCACTTCTAATCTCTTGACCAGTTCATTAGTGTCCTTCGGGTCTGGACCAGCCCCCTAGTACCTTTTGGGTCCCCTTTGGATCGCCCATCACAGTGGGAGTGTCTGTTGGAGTCTGTGCTTCCAGAGTTAGCTGGGGTTGTTTTCCAGGAGGCTTTGATCCGGGTCTCGCTGGACGACTGTGCAGACTGTCTCAGGTCCTGCTCCTTATGGCACAGGAGCTCAGCAAACTGTGGGTCTGGTACCTTCAGGGCCTCTGCGTTCATGGTATCCGCTGAGGTTACACCTTCTCCCTCTGGCTACAGTAGTCAAGCTGGGCCTGCTCGGTAGTATGTGTGATAGTCCTTTCAACAAAATCATTTCTGTTAGCCCGGGTGTATGGACCACAGGCCCTGCTCTGGAATTACCACCTCCCCTGTGAAGACTGCTTGTTCAAGGGCCACTTCCTTTTTTTTGACCATGCCGTGCACCTTGCAGGATCTTAGTTCCTTGACCAGGGTTTGAACCTGGGTCCAGGGCAGTGAAAGCGCCACGTCCTAACCACTGGACCACCAGGGACTTCCAAGGGGGCGCCTGTTTACAAATAAATTTGACTAATGCAAACCCACATGGTGGCTGTGGATTAGTGGAAGAATCGTGGACTTGGAATGAGAAGAATGGGTTCAAGCCTGGCCCAGGACACATATTTCTTATGTGGCCATGATGCTTGACCCGAGAGCTTTGGTTTCTTATCCCTGTTGCAACAGCAGCCAAAGAAGGTTAAATGAAAGAATGTGGACAAAATGCTTCACAAAGCAGCAAGCACTCTGAGAATTATTGATTGGCTGGAGGCAATCCTGGGAGCGTGTTCCCCGAGCTGCTGTGCTGTTGTTGGTTTGGGCTGGCTCAGTCCCCTAGGGAGGGTTTGTCTGGTACCAGGATCAGCGAGGCTTCATGGGATGGTGGATGCAGGTCCAAGATGGTCAGATTAGCTCACCTACTGAAATGTGTTTTTCTGATACTGGAGGGGATGAATTGGAGACACTCCAAGCAGGAGGACATCCTTTTTTTTTTTTTTTTTAATTCACGTATAGTTGGTTCACAGTGTTGTTGTAATTTCTGCTGTACAGCATGATTCAGTTATACATACATATATGTTCTTTTTTAATATTCTTTTCCATTATGACTTATCATAGGACATTGGATATAGTTCCCTGTGCTCTACAGTAGGACCTTGTTGTTTATCCATTCTATGTATAAAAGCTTACATCTGCTCACCCCAGCCTCCCACTCCATCCCTCCCCCAACCCCCTCCCCCTTGGGAACCACCAGTCTGTGCTCTACGTCTGTGATTCTGTTTCTGTTTCATAGATAGGTTCGTGTCGTATTTTAGAGTCCACGTATAAGTGATATCATGTGGTATTTGTCTTCCTCTTTCTGACTTATTTCACTTAGCAGGATAATCTCTAGTTGCATCCATGTTGCTGCAAATGGCATTATTTTGTTCTTTTTGATGGCTGAGTAATATTCCATTGTATATATGTACCACACCTTCTTTATCCATTCGTCAATGGACAGTTAGGTTGTTTCCATGTCTTGGTTATTGTGAATAGTGCTGCTATGAACATAGGGATGTATGTATCTTTTTGGGCATCCTTTGATATGCTCCCCACCCCCACCCCACTTTTGTTGTTGAATATTTTTTCTTTTTTTTTTCGGTACGCGGGCCTCTCACTGTTGTGGCCTCTCTCATTGCGGAGCACAGGCTCCGGATGCACAGGCCCAGTGGCCATGGCTCACGGGCCCAGCTGCTCCGTGGCATGTGGGATCTTCCCGGACCAGGACACGAACCCGTGTCCCCTGCGTCGGCAGGCAGACTCTCAACCACTGCGCCACCAGGGAAGCCCCGTTGTTGAATATTTTTTGACACGTATCTACCAGATATTGTACTGAAACACACTTTTTTTTTTTTAACATCTTGGGTGAAGAACTATGTATGTATATAAATTTCTGTAAGTTCAGTTTGTAAAATACTGTTTGATAGATGTTCCATGGTCTTGGGGGTAGGGCATTGGTGATGTCATCATCCCCATAGGTCAGGGTTGCCTAACCTTCTGTCCCTGGCCCTTCCCTGCAGTGGTATCCTCCCTGGAAAGGATATCTCCCCCTCCAGCTTTGCTATGGGGGTGATGGTCGTGCAGAGACACTATCCCCCTTTCTTCCCCTTTCCCTCCCTGACACGGGGTGCTCTCTGTAGAGGTGGAGGCCCAGAGTGGTGGTCAGAATATAGATTATAAGGGAGGGGGTGATGGGGTCACAGGCTGCCTCTCTCCCTCTTCTCATATAGGTGCTTCAGCGAAGAATCCTGTGTCTCCATCCCCGACGTGGAGGGCTACGTGGTGGTGCTCCAGCCTGATGCCCCTCAGATCCTGCTGAGTGGCACTGCTCATTTTGCCCTCCCAGCTGTGGACTTCGAGGGACCCGAGGGGGTCCCTTTGTTCCCTGATCTTCAAATCACTTGCTCCATTTCTCACCAAGTGGAGGCCAAAAAGGACGAGAGTTGGCAGGGCACAGGTAAGGGTGACCTCAAGGAGTGATAGTGTCCAGAGAAGGGGTCCGTGTCTGGAACCAGAGTGAAGGAGAAGCTCTGGGGCTGGCCATGAGAGCGACAACATCCCTCATTCACTTTTCTAGAACGACTGACTGTTAGGAACGAGAGCCAGCGGGAGACCCCCGGGTGTCAGAAGGTTGATGGGTAGTGACGTTTTTGACAATGATGCTGGCAGCTCTCAGGGGATGACCCCGGAAGGGGAGGAAGCGTGGCCATGAGGTGGGCCCTTCAGCTCTGACCCACATCCTGACTGCCTCCTGTCCAGTGACAGACACACGCATGTCGGATGAGATCGTGCACAACCTGGATGGCTGTGAGATTTCTCTGGTGGGGGATGACCTGGACCCCGAGCGGGAAAGCCTGCTCTTGGACGTGGCGTCCTTGCAGCAGCGAGGCTTGGAGCTCACCAACACGTCTGCCTACCTCACCATTGCCGGTCAGTGGGGCCCGAGAACCTGTCCTCTTTCCTTGGGTGCGCCCCTCCCCATAGTCAAGTCTCTGGGAAACTCAGAGGGTCCTCCTTCCAGGCTCAGGGATGCGGTCAAGTGTCCCCTTGCACCTTCCCTGCCTGGAATGTCCTCTGGCTTTCGGATTGTCCCTAGAGGTGGTGGCTGGGGTTTAGGCTCCTGATGGTTCTTTCCCAGCTTCTCTCTCCATCCCAGCTCACCTCCACTTTGGTCTCCACTCTTCTTTGGCTCAGTCTCTGAATAGCTTTCTTTTTTTTTTAAGTTATTTATTTATTTTTGGCTGTGCTGGGTCTTCATTGTTGCTGTGCGCGGGCTTTCTCTAGTTGTGGCGAGCGGGGGCTACTCTTTGTTGCGGTGCGCAGGCTTCTCACTGCGGTGGCTTCTCTTGTTGTGGAGCACGGGCTGTAGGGACGTGGGCTTTGGTAGTTGTGGCACACAGGCTCAGTAGCTGTGGCTTGCGGGCTCTAGAGCGCAGGCTCAGTAGTTGTGGTGCACGGGCTTAGTTGCTCTGTGGCATGTGGCATCTTCCCGGACCAGGGATCGAAGCGTGTCCCCTGCATTGGCAGGCGGATTCTTAACCACTGTGCCACCAGGGAAGTCCTCTGAGTAGCTTTCTAATCCTCTAGCCATTTGGTACTCGCCCTCTTCTCTGTCTTGCGTCTCACTAATCTCATGGACACAGCATAGCTTTAAGTCAAGTGCTCATCTCTTAACGTCTGGTGGTAATGATTTTTTGGTAGCTTCCCAGGGAAGCCTCATCCTCTCTGAAGGACCCTCCATCAGGGAGAACAGAAGATGAGGCGGTCAGTTCCTTCCTGTTTCCGTTCCCTTCCAGAGCCTCACCGAGAACTTCTGTGTTATCCTCTCTCCGTTTCCCCCCTGCTGCCACCTCCCTCTGTCCTGCAGGGTGTTCCTATTTCCTTCTCTCCATCCCTCCTCCCAGCTCTCAGAGGAGGGCGGAGGCAGAAATGGAGCCTCGGTTACTCTATCCCAGTCAGTCGGAGCTGGTGGGGATGCAGGGGAGCGTCTCTCCGTCTGAGAACTCGGGTCGCACCCCTGTTGAGGGGTGGCAGCTGGTGGGAGTCTGGGAGAGAGACTCCAGGCCTCTTCGCTGGCTCCTGCCCTGAGCTGCCTCCTGGTTGCCAGGGGTGGAGGGCATCACTGTGTATGAAGAGATCCTGAGGCTGGCTCGTTACCGGCTGCGACGCGGGGCTGCCCTCTATGCCAGGAAGTTCCGGCTTTCCTGCTCAGAAATGAATGGGCGTTACTCCAGCAATGAATTCGTCGTGGAGGTACCCAGAGTCCCCTTCCCTCCACAGCCAACCCCGCTGGCGAGGAGCCGGGGTGGGGTGGACTGAACCTGCTGGTGCGTGGGGATGGAAATTGCAGCCCAGGGGCCTCCTGGCCCTGGCGGGGAAACTGGGGGCCGGGGGGGAGAGCTGGGCCCTCGGGGGGTGGAGGAGGGGCGGGGAAAAGCGAGTGTGCCCACTGAGCCCGCCCTCGCCCCAGGTCAGTGTCCTGCACAGCGTGAACCGGGTCACTCACCCCAGCCACATGCTCAGCTCCCAGCAGTTCCTGCACCGAGGTCACCAGCCCCCGCCTGAGATGGCTGGACACAGTCTGGCCAGCTCCCACCGGAACTCCAGTACGTAAGGCTGCGTGGGTCCAGCTGGGCGGGTGGGTGGAGGGAGTGGGTGGGCACGAGCATCCTCCTCTCCACCCCTGGGCCGTGGGGGTGGGGCAGGGGGAGGAACGGGGTGGAGCCATGGATTCTGTTCCCTGTGGAACTTGACTTAGTTGACGGCTGTGATCCAATCCCTTTATCCCCCAGATCATTCACTTTGCCTAGTGGAGAGTCCGAGCCTTGGGTCATCACAGGGGCACTCATGCCTGGGATCATGGTCAGTGTGGGTTTAGCCTTTGTTGTTCCTGCTGCCCTCCCCCAACAATATCAAGTTAGCCCTGGACCTAGGGATCCTCAATAGTGAAGCTACCAAGTATGTATTAAGCACCTACTGTGTACTAGCACTGTCCACAATACAATTAAGAATACAAAATTTATAGGATAGATACAGTTCCTATCCTCAAGGAGAAAGTTGGTGCTATTGCCTGTGTAATTATGTGCTATCTATAAAGTCATAAGACTGTTTCTAAAACAAAATATGCAAACATGCCAAGTATTACATCCAGCTGGAGCGCTGCCCTTCAAAGCAATCTCATTCCCTGGCCACGATTGTTTACTAGTGATGCAATTTTTAATTCACAATTTAAGAGTTACTTAATTATAGAAAAACTAGAAACTATAAGTATAAAGAAGAAAAGTCAGCCATAATTCCACCACAATTGGCCATTGTTAATATGGTGTTATTATTATGTGCCAACTTTTGTCTGTGCCTGTTTTTTTTTTTCTTTTAACAAACTTGGGATCAAACTATTTTGTAACCTAATATTTACACCTAACATTATAAAATGAGTCTTCTCCCCCATTGTTAAAAACTGCAATGATTCTGATGTTGCTAGAAGTGATTTTTGGAATCCCTTTTGAGAATTGCTTTCAAAGTCAATTTATGAGATACATTTATTTTTGTTCCTTTTGGTACACACCTTGCCTTTGGCCCAGTTCAGTATTACCCAACTTCAGCATCCACTTTTGTCAGAGTTGGCTCTGGATAGCATTCTGTGTTTGTAAACATAAAACCAACTCTCAAAGGGCAAAGATTTGTCACTTTTTTAAAAAGTCAAAAGGCGTATCTCAGCCTCTGAAGGCAATTCCCTAAAGAGTTCCAAAAATGCTTTCTTGGGAGGTCATGGTCACTGAACCCTACCCTGAAAGGACAGCTCGCACATCAACCATGTAATTGAAAGAATAATGAACACATCGGTGTGCCAGGCACCCTGCCTGTGGGCTTTACACCTATTAACCCAGTGAATCATTACAGACAACAGATGGAATAGGTACTAGAATTATCCCCTCTAAAGGCAAAGAAATGGAAGCCCAGAGAGGTTAAGTACCTTATCCAAGGTCACACAGCTAAAACACGGTGGAGCCAGGATTCGAATCCAGGCAGCAGGATTCCAGAGCCCGTGCTCTAACCATCACCCTCTATACCCTGTCCATTTATGTTTGATGCTTTAAAAAAAAAAAGTCTCGTTACTTTATAGTTGCACCTAATTTGGGGGAGCTCCTTAGGGCTTCCCAGTACGTCTTTGACCTAGGCTAGCTCCCTGGTACCCCCGGAATTCAGTCTGTTTTCCTCTCCTTGGGCAGTGGCCACCACTGCACTGTCTCTTGTGTTTCCCTTTCCCTGGGACTGGCTCCCTTCATCCTTGCTCTTTCTGAAAACAACTGCAGACGCCTTTTTAAGTGTTCTTCCTGTGATTCCTACAGCAAAGCAGATGGAAGTAGGTGTGAGGAGGGAGTATAAGGCGTAACCAAGTTGCAAAGGTTCTAGGAAGCTTCACACAATCTTTAGAGGTGTGTGCGTGAACTAAACCTGTTTTTGTTAAATAGACTTTTGGGGCCATAACTCCCTAGCTCTTCCTCCAGTTCTTTCACTGGGAATCATCCCACCCAGCCTCTTCGGGGCTGGATACTGGGTTCTGCCACTCAGATTAGGCTCAAGGCGCGTCCAGGTTGGCATTGCTGCTGGGCTCGGTAAGACTCTCACCCTTGTTTTCTCTGCTTGCTCTGAGATCCCAACTGCAGCCTGCTTTTGCCTTTTCCCCTGATTTTGGCCTGAGTAGGACACAGGGTTCATAGTTCACCTGAGGGCCCTGGTGATTGACATCTCCTGAGCTTATCAGGAGATCCACTTCATCAAACCTGTTCTATGTGCCCTTCCTGACACTTCAAGGTGTTCTCTCCCTTTCCCCTCCCTCCCAGCCCCAAGAGTGGAATTACAGGATTGTGGTTTTGCAATTTCAAATTACTCTGACCATGCAAAAGAGTAAGAGATAGAATTCCCTCCAACGAGACAGGGGCTTCATTTCTCTGAAGCTCCCAAGTGCATGAGGAAAGAGAGATCAGTGTGAACCAGGACAGTCAGCTGGGGAAGGTCCGGTGGTACATTCAGACCTTGAGCTTGGACCTTGAAGGGTAGAAGGGTAGATGGACGTGGGGGAGAATGAGAGTTTGAGAACTGAGGGTGGGTGGGTGGTATGGGGGAGTTGTGTTTAGGGAGAATGAGGCTGTCCGAGAAGGGTAAGATGAGCGATGAAGACAACATTTATCCAGTCTTCCCAAACGTTGATGCACATCGCAATCGCCTGGGGAACAGTAAAAACGCTTGGTGCCTAGGCCATACCCAAACCAGTTCAATCAGAAGGTCTGGGGTCGGGGGCCAGGTATCAGGGGTGTTTAAAGATCCGCAGGTGATTCCAACGTGCAGCCAAGTTTGGAACCATTTCCCGGTTTGTTACCTACATGTATCCGAGACTTTGCGGAAAGACCTGCAGTGCAATAGGATACAAATAGAAAATGAAATTGGAAGTGAGGGAAAGGACAATGAGGAAAGAAGACGATGAAGCCAAGGGATAAGTCAGTTCATAAAATACCTGCTGTGAGATGCTGTGACGTTGCTAGAATGGCCAGAATTTGGACTCTGAGCTTCCTTGTAGCTGAAGCAGAAGGGAAGCTGAGCAGTTAGGAAAGTCCTATGATGGGACCAACCAGTGCTTCAGGAGAAGCCCGGGGACCCAGAGCAGAAGGACATTTCTCTCTAGGCTCTTCAGAAAGGGTGCTCCACGTGGGGCTGTGGACAGGGCTTCAACCCTGTCTCACAATCGCACGGAACCAGGAGTTTCACACGGGCCACTGGCTAAAACTAAAACACCCCTTCGTGTTGTCCTTGGAGGTCATTCAAGGCCAGAATCAACTGCTTGGGTCTAATGTAGAAAGGTTGATGGTATTTCCTAAACTCTTGATTTTTGTCTGTAACTAATTTAAAAATCCTCCCATCTCCCTGGCCTCCTGGCTGATTAGAAACTAACCATACTTGTCTGCCTGCAGATAGAGGGTCTGCCTTTTGTCTTTCTTGTGATCATTTCTTATTCCAGGCAGTCAACTTGTCACTTCCTTCACCAGGCCAGGGGCTCAGAGGAGCAAATGCATTTGATTAAGGCACAAAACAGAAGCTTTGGCTTGTCATCACTGTGCCCCTAGAGCAAGTTCACCTGCTATGGCCTCCACTCTGAGGAGGGGTTTCTGCTCCTTCTAGAACCTGGGCTTAGCTACAGGGGCATTCTGCTGGTGGGGTCACTGCCCTCGGATCTTGCCCACTGACACGAAGACGCGGGAGGGGCTGTTGCCTACAGAGGAGCAGAAAGGGCAACTCTGCCTCCCCCGTCTCTTCCCCCATTCCCAGACAGTTGAGAAATTCTCATCCAGCCAGGCCTGTCTCTCCCCGGAGCCAGTGCCCGGGAGCCCACCTGGCCTGCTCAGCAGAGTCAGCTCTCGTTGGCCCCAGGTGGGCTATGGGTCAGGTCAGGCTGGGGACCGACCTGGCAGAGCACCGTCAGGGTGGCCTCAGGGAGGGGTGAGGGTAGTATGGCTACTCAGGCAGGGGGTGCTCCCACACCTGGGTGGCTCTGGAGCGCGTGGCAGTGTGTGTGTGCTGCTGGAGGGTGGGTGTGCCGCAGGGGTGGGGAGTTCCTGTGCTGTGTGCTTCCCTGCGCTCTGCTCTGTCTTTCAGCATGTGAGTCTTAGAGGCTGTGGGTAAACTCGTGTGCGTGTGTGCGTGTGTGTGTGTGTACTGGAGGTGGGCAAGGCTGTGCTCACGGCTGTTGGCTCTGTGGCCCTCAGGGCCCAGGTCTGTGGCGTTTACACCTTCCTGCAGGGGGTCTCCTGGTCTGCCCAGCTGGCAGGGAGCTGGGTGGCACTGCACGTGTGCCTCTCCTGTGCCTTGGTGGAGACCCTCAGGCGCGTCCCTTCGATGCTGCCGTGCGAGCAGATCTCCGGGTGGCTGGTGTGGGCAGCTGTGCAGGCCGGCAGAGGCCCGGTGCGGGTGCGGGGCACAGTGAGCCCGGTCCAGCTGGGTGCCCACACGCTCTTCCTGGGCACGTACCTGCGCCTGCACGTCTGCTTTGCTGCCATCAGCTCTAAGGTCCGAGTGAGGGTCCACGCGCCCTTCTGCGTCTCACTGCCCTTCAGAGTCCACGGCCCCCTGAGCCCGGGCTTCAAAGTGAGGCTGCGGACCCAGAAGCTTGACAGGGCTGAGGGGGAGGTGGGTGTACCCCGAGGGGAGCAGAGGCCCCAGGTGTCCAGGAGGCTCGAGCCCGCAAGGAGATGGGAGGCGTCACTGAGCAGGGGTGAGCTCTGTCCAGGTGGGCGCGTGAAGGGGCTGCTCTCTGTGCCCTGGACCTGTGCCCAGCTTGGGTGCCAGGCCACGCTTGGAGCTTGCTCCTCCTATTACGATGCAGGAGAACATTCTCTCCTCTTGCACTGTCAAGCCTGTGTGGCCGCCTCTCTCCTTTCCCCGCTGGGCTCTGGGCACCTCCTTCCTGGACTACGTGGTCCCTGGGGAAGGCACAGGCAGAAGGACCCGGCAGGGCCCAGGCCTTGCCCTCTGTGCGCTGAGAACAGGGCTGCTCAGGACAGCGTTGGGCTGGGAGCCCTCCTCCTCCCCCTGCCCTTGCCTCCTCTGCACATCTCCCTCCCTCAGGCTCTCTGTCCCTCCCCGTCTCTGCCCTTCCCCGGGGGCAACTCTACTTTTCCTCCAGCTTCGGCAGGGCAGACCCCTCTTCTGGGCCATCATGGACCCTGCCTTCTGCTCGGGGACTCCCGCTGCCCAGGCCCCCGACTCCGCCCCTGAGCGGAGTGTGCTCAGGTGCGCCTGGCTCTCCCCGCAGTGGTCCCGAGCGCTGCGACCCTCATCATCGTGGTGTGCGTGGGCTTCCTGGTGCTCATGGTCGTCCTGGGCCTCGTGCGCATCCACTCGCTGCACCGCCGCATCTCGGGGGCCGGCGGGCCCCCGGGGGCCTCCAGTGACCCCAAGGATCCCGACCTCTCCTGGGATGACTCAGCTCTCACCATTATCGTGAACCCCATGGAGGTGCGCGGGGGCGGGGGGGCGGGGCGTGTCGGCAGCGTCGGGGCACAGCTGGGGCGCACTGCCTTCATGCGGACTCCCGCTGAGCTCCCCCTCTCCCTGCCGTCCCCAGTCCTACCAGGGCCGGCAGGCCTCCATGGCGGGCGCTGCGGGCAGCCAGCAGGAGGACGAGGACAGCAGCGACTCCGAGGCAGCCGACTCGCCCAGCAGCGACGAGAGACGCATCATCGAGACCCCCCCTCACCGCTACTAAGGCCTCCACCCCTCCCCAGACAGAGAGAGGATTCCGCCCTGGTGAGACAGACACCCCCCCGAAGAGAGAGGAGGACATGCTGAGAGAAGAGAGACCCAGAGGGAGCAGCTCTTGGAAGAGTCATCCTTTAATCTCAGAACCCCGTGGCCCTACTGGAGCCCGCCCCCCCCCCCCCCCCCCCCAGCCCACCCCCCTCCGAGCCTCTGGGCTCCTCCCCCCCGCCCCCCCCACCCACCCCCACCCCCGGGGTGGGAGACTTTGGCAGGCAGCCGGCCCCTTCGCTCACCCCTGTCTGTCTCTCCCCATGCCGGCCACGCGCTGTATGGGTTGTAGGGGGGACTGAAGGAAACCCTGTACCCTGCCCTTGCCTACTCTCCTGTCCACGGAGACCCCCACCAGACCCCCAGCCGGGCCTTCCCTGCTTCTTTTATGAGCCCGCCTCTCTCCATTTCCTTCTGGGGATCCCTGCTTCTCCTCCTGGCCCCCTTCCCTCCTCTCCTTGCCTGAGGTCCTACGGCCCCTGCCCTTCCTACAGGACCCGGCTGTGGCTGGCTTGTAGGGGCCCCGGGTGTATTATATATAATGTATATTTTTTCATGTCGTCGTGAGCGCAGCCCCTGTGTTCCGTGTGCAGCTCACAGCCTCGTGTGCGTGTGGCATCGTCACGTCTTGGGGTTAGGGTAGGGATGGGTGTGCTGAGGAAGGGGACACACCCTAGGGTTTTCAAATAAAACAACCAGAAAAAAGCTCGGTGAGCTGCCTCTGGCCTGGCTGATCCCCGGTGGGCGCTGTGCGGGTGGCAGCTCTGGGGTCTCGGGCCCCTTCGGCCTCTGAGCTGAAGTAAGGGGCAGGGCTGGTTGTTTCCCACTGTCTTCTTCTCTCAGCACCTGTGGGAAGAGTATAGACAACTGAGGGAATGCCGCAGACTCTGGGTCTTTGTGGGGGACATTGTCAACCCCTCCCCATCTCTTGGAAGTTTCCGCCTGGGGGGCTGGGGCAGCTCCCCAGCTCTTGGAATTTTCAGCCTGGGGTGCCGGGGCGCCCTGCCCGCGGAGTCTAGGGAGAGAGTGCAGGCAGCCCTGCTATTTGTTTTTTATAAATTTATTTATTTATTTATGGCTGCGTTGGGTCTTCGTTGCTGTGCGCGGGCTTTCTCTAGTTGCGGCGAGCGGGGGCTACTCTTCATTGCGGTGCACGGGCTTCTCATTGCGGTGGCTTCTCTTGTTGCGGAGCACGGGCTCTAGGCGCGCGGGCTTCAGTAGTTGTGGCACGTGGGCTCAGTAGTTGTGGCTCGCGGGCTCTAGAACGCAGGCTCAGTAGTTGTGGCGCACGGGCTTAGTTGCTCCGCGGCATGTGGGATCTTCCCAGACCAGGGCTCGAACCCGTGTCCCCTGCATTGGCAGGTGGTTTCTTAACCACTGCGCCACCAGGGAAGCCCAGCCCTGCTGTTTGTAATAAGACAGAACGGGCTCTGAGACATGTCCCCCAGGCTGTAAGGGGCGGGAACCAGATGGGGTTATTTCAGAAGAGTGTGCTGTAGGGGAGCATCCTTCCTGTGCTCTCCCGGCCCCAGGAAAGACTAGGGATCCAGGTCTTAATTCCCTTCTGTGGGATGGGGTGTTTGAGTATCAGTAATGTTTCGCCTACTTCTCTGTGGTTCTCGTGGACACAGTGGGGTGGAAGTGGAGCTTACTGGCCCGCTGCATGCACCACCTGTGCCTGGTCTTACTTCTGCCAGGCGCCCATTCTTCCCCCTGGCTTCAGCCACTAGCCATGTATTGATGTCCATACTTAATCTCCCACCCAGACCTCCCACCCAACTACTATTGGCAGTTCCCCTAGGACATCCTGTGCC